GGAACAACCGTGTTCTCCCCCTCCTATAAAGTTTTCCTTCTGGGGCGGTGTGAAAGACCCAGGCGGGATGGGGGAAAATGGACTTAAGTGCTGTCACTTTAAGTAAGCGAAGTGGGAAAGAAGAGGTGGCAGGGGGGTATTACAACTGCGTCTCAGCCATCAGGAGTGTCCCGCACAGCAGGAACAGGTAATGAGAAATGTTCTGACAACGGCATCGGTTTTGTTCTTGGCTGGGGAAAAGGGGAGAAAAAGTTCAGTTCTTTGGCTGTTGATAGCAGTAGCAGGGACAGGTGGATTTTGCTGGGCTGTCCCTGCACGAGAGCTGAACTTCTAGCCCACCTGAGTAAGCAACCCTCAGACGCTGCGGTCCTGGGAGAGGGGACATCAGAGAGCAGAGGCCCTATCTCGGCTGAAGTTGAACAGTGCTTTGCTGTTGACTTCAGGAGGCTCCTGACCCAGCAGAGCCCAACTCAAGATCAGGGTCCCAGATGCTTTCTCTCAGTGGGGGGTAATTTGCAGAGCTTAATAAAGATGCCCAAGCAAGCAGCACCTGGCATCAGGCCAGGACTTCCTGATGCCCACACAAGCAGCAGTTTTTATTACTGTCAGTCATTCCTACCACACTGGAAATATCCATGATGATCCCCTGAGCAGGTCCAAGCAACACTCAGTGCCCTGAAACATCCAGCAAGGAGCGAGCTGCAGTGCTAGGGGAGGAATGTGCTTTGCACACAGATGCCAAGTTTTATGAGTCGCCTTTTCATTTCTTTGCCTTGCACCTCCCTGAAGCGACTCTGCGGGTAGGAGACAGGCCCCAGGCTTTGCCTTTTGCTCTCTGTGCTTCCCAGCTCCGTGCTTCTGACGTTTTCTCTTGGGGGACCTTAAGAAAGGAGCCAGGCTGTGCGCTGGAGGGGCCCAGCAGAGATCTCCTCTTGGGTGCTCAGTGATGGGCCGGGGAGAGCTGCTGTGTGAGAGGCAGTGTGTGCTTGGAGGAGCGGCTTTCCCTGCAGCCTGCGAGCGCGGGTTATAATTAAAGTCAACAATACTGGGAAGTTATTGGGTGGCCTGTAGCATTTCTGAGCCCTTGGGACTGATTGCCTCGGTGCATTCGTTCAATTGCCATTGTTCGTGGAGCACTGCAGTTGGCAGGTGGCCTGCTAGATCCTGAGCCCCGGTGTAAATCTGGAGTCTTAGTGCTCTGTAGGGCTGTAGGGAGGAATATTTGGGACCTGATCCATCCTTTGTCTCAGCCCTGGGTAGCTGTTTATAGCAGTGCCCAGGCTTCTGCAATGCTTTACCCCGACTTTGTGCTGGTACAAATGACATCTTGAGGCCGAAAGCCGTGCCAGGGCTCGGTTGTATGTGGCTGTGTGTCCCAAGATGGCTTTGAAAACCTGGATGAGGCTGGGAGTGTGAGCAGCCAATGCCAGGCTGTCCGGGGGCGACAGCAGCCGCTGTACCCTACGCTTTGGCAGGATGGCAAGTTCAGAGCTGCTCTGTGCCTACCTGCCTTTCTGCACCTGGGTGAGAGCACCTGAGGTCATGCCATCCATGCAGTGAAGTGGGGCTTCTTCATTCCCATCAGGTAGCCTGTTAAAAGAGGACATTGCCTGCTAACCCAGGTAGCTGGGGAGGAGATCAAGGGGTGGGGAGGAAGCATGGGGCCAGATGGGTGGAATGGGGTCCCCAAAAGAAGGCTCCGTGATGGGCACTAGACAGGGATGGAGATGACCCCCCAACCCTGTGCAGCAACTGGAACCAAAGGCCACTGCTCTTCTGTGCGTCAGCAAGGCTCCACATTCATACAGAGAGAGCCCAGGGCAGCAAGGCACACTCAAGTCATGTCTGCAAGGTCTTCTCCAGAGCCACGAGAGCAAAAAGTGTATGTTGTGGTCTGAACCCCTGGAGGGATTGCCAGCACGACAGAGGTTTTCAAGGAAAACCCAATAGGATTGTACAATCCTGTGATGCAGCAACCCCTCGTCGTTCACAAAGAGGTCTGGTGCTTTCTCCGCCTGCGGCCTATATTTCATGTATAACGACTGCCCCTGGATGCAGCCTGCACGGCAGATTAGGTGTCTTTGCTGTGTGAGCCCTGTGCTTTCTCTCCTGAATATTTCATCCCCTGAGGGAGGTGGTTCCTGCCTTTCTGTCCCATAGAACAGACTCTCCTCTCTCTCATCTGGAGGGTGGTATTCAGTAGCCCTGGGCTCGGCTGATGGGCAAGGTCCATTTTTTGGGATCTTTTGGTACCTTTGTCCCATGGGAGCCCTTCTCCCTTCAGCTCCCGCTATGGCCCCAGGTGGCTGCAGGGAGCCCAGCACCAGCTTTCTTCAGCTGTAGTGCCTAGTGCAGCTCTTTTCTTGCAGGGCAGGCTGGACCAGGGGCTAAGGCATCGTCACAAAGCCTGGAGGCAGATCTCCCTTGGAGCTACTAAGTTCCCTTGACCGGTTCCAAGTCCCCTATCAGTCAAGCAGTATGGCGTGTATTGTGGCGATGGGAGTCCTGGATATAAGCAGGAGGAAAGCTTTGGCCAGCTGCTTTCTCCCAGCTAGATCCCAGCAGCTTTCTGCTCTCCCTTCCAGTCACTTATCTGATGCCCCCTGTAAGTTGTGTGGATCACAACACACAACTCGAACGCGCCTCGCTAGAGGGAGAGCGTGGCTGTAGGGCACAAAGCTCTTTGCTGTTTGCTCCCAGAGCTCAGGGTCCGTGTACAGCTTGGGCTTGCCAGTCTTAGAGTTACTCTGCATTTGGGGGTCCCTGGCTCCTTTCTGAGGAACAGCAGCTGGTGTGGGCTGAGGGCGTGCTGGCTGATCTGAACCCAGTGCCCAGATCTTCTGTGGCAGGGCTGGTGCTAGTTCTGCAAAGCGCATTTAACAAAGTTGCTCTGAAGAGGCCGAAGAGAGATGTAGAAAGCAGGCCAGCCCCTCCAGCTGGGCAGCAGAGCGTGTGCAGGGCTGGGGTCGAGCTGGGAAGGTTTGATGATGCAGAGGAAGGTTCCTTGCCTCAGAGATCCTCCTGGAAGCAAGAAATCGCCCCTTTCCATCTTCCCGGGTGGTTGAGTTTTAACACGGCGGCATAATGCAAATTGCTTGGAATAGCGGCCGATACGCAGCAGAAGAATCAGCAAGAGCTTCATCTCCCGAGGCAGAGAAACCGTAATATAGATGGGGACATGGAGAAACAAAGCAGAAAGCCCACATGCTCCTAGAAGAATAGCATAGCTCTGCTCCATAAGCAGAAAACCAGGGGAGCAAGGTTTTCTGGTAGCACGGGGGGAACTGAGCATCAGGGAAAGGTGACCCAGGCACAGCATTTGTCTTAATAAAGGGGTGACTCCCCGACTCTCTGCCCTGGAAGGGAATAAAGTAAATACTATGCCTGGACCAATGTTTGCTCCCAAACATTTGGTGTCTGTTGGCCACTAAATATAACATCCTTCCTGGCCAAGGTAGGTCCTGAAGGACCAGTCAATCAACAAGCTAATTTCCAGCAAGGCACGAGGGGGCTCCCCAGCCTGGGTGGGTGATGGCATTGTGCCCAGCATCCCGACGTAGGTGTGGGTATCTCACCTTGCACATCTCCCAGCTCTGGCCTGGTCCCTGCCATGCATTAGTTGCGGTGAGGACCTGGGCTCTTTCCTCTGATCATTCTGGGCTGGCCTGTGAAGCAACGAAATGCTCCTAGCAGGGCAGGGCTTTCTCTGGAGCTTGCTGCCTCCTCGCACGTTCCTTGCTCTCCCCATGGGCTCCATGTGCGGTGTGCTTGTTTACCAAAGTGTGTTGGCCATCCTCCCTCCCTGCCAGGCCCAGCCGCCCTCACAGCTGCTGTTTGAAACATGCAGGGGAAAAAAGCAACACCCCTGGGGCTGGGGCTGGAGCTGGGGCATGGAGGAGAGGAAGGGAAACAGATGACTTCATGCAGGGAGACGGTTGTGGGGCTGCCAAGAGCTCTGGTCAGGGCCTGCCAGCTGAGCGGCCCATGCTACCCGCTGAGGCTGGCACGCAGCAGCAGTCCCGGGAGGGGGAAGCAAAGAGCGGTAGCTACAGCTGTGTGACTTGCTCCACACATCTGGACACAGCTGCAGGAGGATGCAAGTTGCTCTGAGCAAACAGAATGAAGACAGGGCCATCGACGGGAGAGGGAAGGTGCAACGTGATGGTGCAACTGGTGCCAATGATGCTCGGCCTCTCTTCTGCTGTCCCTCCTGCGGGCATCGATCTGGACACTAGTGGTGCCAGAGTCCCCTTTCCGTTAAATTACAACCTGGTGAAGGCGGATGCTGAATGCTAGGTCTTGGGGACCGGGCTGCCCGAGGTGAGGCTCTCCAGGGCAAGACTGCAGCTCATGCTGTCACTGTCCTTGCTGTAGAGGTCTTGTGTCCTTGGTGTTTGTCAGCCCAGCTCCTTTCATGGAGGTACTCCTGATACTGGAGGCCAGCATGGCTAGTGACCTGAGCTTGGACTTAGGAGACATAAATTATTCCCTCCTCTCCCCTCACCTCTTTCTGGGAATGAGAACCACTGCATTAGAGCTAGGTATTACTAGCCTGCTCCATCCTTCTCCGGCTCATCAAGGAAAAAGCAAGTTATAATGCCCAAGAAATTAATTTTATTGCTCTGTGAGCCTGTCTGTGGCATAGGCGCTGACTTTTATTTTTGCTGAAGGGGGCCCAAAATGATGGACACATGGAAAGCTTTATGCATTACAGGTGATAGCCCTCTTCCCGACGGGGGTCAGGGCCCTTGGGCCCCCACGGACTTGGCATCTCTGGTCTGCATTGCTAAGCGGAGTTGGATGCGAAACACAGTTCATGTTTCCTGAGAAGTTCGGCGATTCTCCGAATTCCACTTTGTTTCAAATTGGGATAAAAAACATGTTAAAAATGTCAGAATGTTTCCCAAGACAGAAATCCTGCACGGGATTCATGTCAGAAAACAGACATTGTGCTGTTTCCTCTGTTTCCTGCTGTAGTGAACTGCTTCGACCTTTCGGTTTATTCCAGAATTTTTCCTGCCAAAAAATGTCTTCGAAATTTGGCACGGTTCTGCAAAATTTTTCCCATTTAGGTGAAATTGTTTCTATGAGCAAGAAAAAATGGGGTTTGCCATATATTTCTTTTCTGCCAGCTCTCAGGCTGCAGTGCTAGGGTGTTGTGTGCAGTGTGGGCCAAAAACAGTGTTG